AAACTCTAAAAGAGTTTTAAAAATAGAGTTGCACTATTATTGATAAAATATAATCTGAAATAATAATATATGAGTAATAGATTAACATATAAAAATATTTTTGTTGATAGCACTTATCGTTTGGCATCGAGTTGAATGAAAATTTAGAAACACCCGAAGGAACAAGAATGTATATTTCAGATGTTTCAATCCCCGCGGTGTGGAAAACAACCGAAGTAAATTTCTATGAGTATTTGTATGTATATAATGATATTTGATAATACAAATACTGTTGTTAAGAATTTCAGAATTTACCTTGGAAATAATATATATGTTGCTTATCAACTTTGTTTTGATATAAATGAGGGGTTAAACAGTAATACAACAGATTTATCAGCAGGTGGAATTTTTGTTTATTCTTATGATGAAGCAACAAGAACAGTAGAATTTAAAATTAAGGAAGGTTTAAATTATAAGGTTAAAATACCTACCGATGTAGAATTAGCAAACTATGTGAATAATTCTTGGAATACAACACAGGCAAACTATGACAGTAGCAATCCAGTTTCTAGAAATTATTTATTAAGTAATTTTGTTCCAACATCTCCATTAACAACTTGGACGAGTTCATATCTCAACCTTGTTCCATTCAGATATTTGTTCATAACTTCCAATGCCTTAACGGATTACAGATATTCGGCGCCCAATTCTTATTCATCAGCCATAATAAGGAAGGTGCTTTGTAGTTCTCAATTAGGAGGTGTGATTAACGACAATTCAGCACCACATCAAGAGGACTATGTGGATATTGGAGGCAAAAAATTAAGAAAATTGGATTTTAAAATAACTGACGCAAATGGCGTAGTAATGAATTTATATGATATACCAGTCCAGTTTGCGTTGTTAATCTCACATTCTAATTACTAAAATTCATAGTCAAAAATTGTTAAAGGATTTTAAAGGAATATTATGTATAGATAATAGAGATTAGGACGGTTAATTACCAAAATGGAAAGGTTTATAAGATATGGGATGTTGCCTTTACAAAGTGCTACATTGGCTCAACTTGTGAAGATATAAAGAAACGATATACAAGACACAAAGAAAATTACCATAGATACAAAAATGGAAAATATCATTATGTGAGCGTGTATGATTTATTTGATGAATTTGGCATAGAAAACTGTAAAATTGTTTGGGAAGAAGACTTCCCTTGTGGTAGTAAAAACGAGTTAGAAAAAAGAGAGGGACACATCACATTCAGAAAGAAAATGATTGTATAAACAAAAGAGTAGCAGGTAGAAACGATAAAGAATGGAGGATAGACCACAAAGAACATGTAAAATGTAAAACTTGTAGCAAAAGCATATCGTGAAAACAACCTAGAAAAATGTAAAGCAAACGCACAAAACTGGTATAATAACAACAAAGAATACTCTAACGCTAAAAGTAGAGCAAATTATGCCATGAATAAAGAAGAATATAATAAACAAAGTAAGGAAAGATATGAAAAGAAAAAAACTGATTAGATATACGTGCGCTTGTGGTTCCAATGTAGCATGTATCAGAAAGAAAAGACACGAACAGACAGACAAACATAAACAATACCTACAAAATCAAAGCAACAACCAAGAGCAATAATAAAAACTAAATCATAATTCTATATATGTTCCACCAAAATTAATATATAGAATAATGAAAGAATTTTTATAGAACATAATGTATGAGTATATCTGTTGTTGATTTAAATGAAGAAGCAAAAGAGGAAGCACCAGCAATTGAACCAATTGAAGAAGAAGAAGAAGCAAAAGAAACCGTTGTTGATGTTGTTAATGAAGTTGTTGAAGAAGTTAATGAACCACCAAAAGAACAAGAAGTGAAAGAACAACCAAAAATTACAAACACAAAAGGACAGAATAAACTGTCCTCGTTGTTTTAAAGAAATGTCAGTCAAAAGTTTTAAGTATTCACACGAACAAAAATGCCAAGGCAAACTATCTGAGAAACCAGTCAAACCACACGCAAAACCCAAAGCAAAACAAACTCCCAAACCCAAACCAACTCCTAAACCGCCACCAGAAATATATTACAGCGATGATGAAGAAGAAGTGCCACAACAACCATTGATAAGAAAAAACAACCAACTCAACCAATTAATCCAGTTAGTGCCCTTTCTCAACATTACGCACTCCTCCAACAACAATTCATAAAACAAAAGCAAGAAAAATACAATAATTTATGTCAAAATATGTTTTCAAGTAAAACTAAAAAAGATAGATTTAATGTTTAGATTGTATAGAAATCTAATTATTAATATATGACTTCTTTAAGATTAGATGGTGGAACATCATTCATAGGAACTGAATTTATCAAACTATTAGCAACAGGAAGCAGTAATTTAGCGACTGTAGAATATGTAGATGATGCTGTTGCTGGTGGTGGTGGAGGAGGAACAGGCACGACCGACTTAACCAATTACTATACCAAAACAGAAACAGAAGGGTTATTCATACCCTATTATACCAAAACACTGGTAGATAATCTATTAACAAACTACTATGCCGAAACAGAAGCAAATACATTATTAGATACTAAATTGAATGTTGATAATCCACAGGATATGTCAGGAGTGCTTCGTATAGGACACGCTTTAGGAAATTCAAAAATTATTCTAAATGCTGTTTCTTCTGATAGGGATTTCTATGTGAATGGGGATGACCAAATATTAGGGAATCATTTAGTTCAATCATTAGACAGTAGCGGATATATCAAAGGTTCAAATATCCAAACAAATACATTCAATACCCTCAACACCAATGATATACTTTTTCAGAGCAACAGCGCCACTTATTTACAGTGCGATGTGTCTGAAAATAAAATCATAGCAAGTAAATTGATACAATGCGGTGCCAATCTTAAAACCCAAGAGATAGACACAATAGCAAATTTAGATTTAGTAATAAAAAGAAATGGGGTTGATTTCATAACATTAGCAGATGGTGAAATACAATTCAATCAACCTACAAATTCAGCAATAACACCTGACCTTTCTAACTGCGTAAAATTAACTGGTGAAGCATCCCAAACAGTAGCAGGTAATGCTGTTGTAGGTGGCACTCTTAACTCTTAACACAAATACACTAAACAGCAATGGCAACAGTGATATAGTTTTACAGAGAAACGGGATTGAATATATGAAAATAGAAGGGACGCTACAAGCAGTAGAGATGACAAAAGGTGTGAAATCTAACACTTATGATAGTATAGGTAATGCCGATGTTACATTTAGAAGAAACACTGCTGATTTCTTTTATTTAAGAAATAGTCAGGTTGAACTTAACAGTGGTATAACATTACAGTCAAGTAGTGCTAAATTTGATACAGTCAATGAAAGCGGGGTGCACAGCCCCAAGATGCAGCAAGCAGCTTGTTTTCCTATCACGCTGATGCTTGAGCCAAAGTCATGGCCATAAGTTGAAATGAATATGTACAACATGCTAGCCTACACATGGCATGTGGTGACTGGAATAGGGTCTGTTTCCTGACACCCTTCCACAGCTGAATCACGTAGTGATTTGGCTGACTTTCAGCGAAACACTTCAACCACCACACTGTTTACATGGCGTGTAGCCACGTTCAACAGCTAGTGACCTGCGGCAGTTCTGTACATTACCACGGAAAGCTCTCACCATTCTGCAGCTCATGCGATGATACCGTACACCGCCTCCAAGTATGACCACAAGGTCATCTTGTGGTTCTCTCGCTCCGGCTTTTGGTTTTGGTTTTGCTTTTGGATTCTGTCTTTGTTCCCCTCCATGCCCTGATACTGGCATGGATGTTGAAGAACTTGCGGTGCTCTGCGCAGTGGATGTCTGCGTAGTTCTGTTGTCTGCCCTGATCTCATCTGCTTGAATCATCTTCTCGCAGACTTCTTCTCTCATGAACCTTCTTCTCACGGCTGAAAACAGCCCGTATAGTGCAAGGATGTGGACCACAAACATATAGAGCAAAAAGCTAAAGATGCTTGAGTCCTTCTCTTCATCCTCTGGCTGTGCTGCTGCGCAGTTCATCATACACAGCAGGCATGCTACAACAATGCCTCTCCTGCAGAGTGGCATAATTTGAACCAGTTCGCTGATTCTTGGGCCTGTTAGAGACTTCGTGCCCAAATCAGCCCAGTTCGTTGTTGTGCTTTCCTTCCGCACAGCTAGTTCTCTTGCACGGACTTTCTCCTGCAACCATAACTCACGGATGCTAAGGTGTTTGACCTTTCCTGTGCCCGAACGTTGGGCGATGCCTTTCGCTGCTGTCGAGTCGGTCAGCATGACCTGTTTGACTCGATTGAGCCCTACACATTGTAAGATGTGCTTGGTCAGCAGTCCGATTGCAACTCCTCTTGTCAAGGAGCAGTACTCTGCTTCTCGATGAAAGTGCAACTGTTGACTGTTTGGCGCATCCACTGTCTAGCAGATGCTCACCAAATCGCTCCATGTGGCAGGACATTGATCTGCGCGTGACTGCATCTGATGCCCAATCAGAATCTGTGTAAACCTGGAACTCTTCAGGTTCTTCTTGTAAGGCGAAAAGCCAAGTCTCCGTCGGAAACTTCAACAAGTAGCGACCAAGTCTTTTGAGTCGCAACATATGGATTTCACACGGCTTTGCCATTCCGGCAGTGATTTCTGACAACGCGTACTGGATAGAAGGTCTATCCAAGCTCAAGTAAAGAGCTGTCCCTGCAAGATGTCTGAATCTTGAGGCTTCCGCTGCGTCTAGCGGCTTATCGCTGGTTCTGCAGCCAGCACCTGTCAGTTTTGAGCTCGGAGTGTCAACTCCTTTGCTCCTTCCAGCCCAAGCTCTTTTGTCAAAAGCTTGACGTATTTGCGATCTGCTTCCCAAGTGAACCCTTCTTTTGTCCACCTGATTGCTCTGCGCAGATGGTCTCCTTCCAGGCACTGACCTCCGTGCTCAGGATTGCCGATTCGCGGCAACACTTTGATTTCAAAATGTTGCAGCATGACTCATCCAATTTGTCGAGATCTTCCGCTCGGCCTTCGGCCAGAAAGTCGTCCCCATGACAACTCATTTTGACTTGCCACTCCTTGTGATAAAACACTCCGGGGACTCCTGGCACATTGCTGAATCCGCCTTTCCTGGTCACAGTTCCGTCTACAAACTCGGACCATTGGCGACTCGCTTCGCGAGTTCCATTCATTGCCTTGTTGAGATACCATAGGTGTCTTTGATCGTTGAGATCATCCGGCGGTACCACGGCGATTTTGCCGGTGGATGTGGCATGGAAGAATGCCACACTGACGTCGTAACGTCCGATCAGCTTGTCGTGCTGATGTTGTCCTTTGCGTTTGGTGGCCGCACAGGACAAAATCATCCTGTGAGCTTTCAGCGGTGGGGTTCCAGAGTGTACGTCCTCTCTAGGACCTGTGTTCACCTCTTGGGCTACACATCTGGACCTCACACCTCTTGGATCTCCGTCGATGGTTTTCCATCCGTCGACCCAGCGACTACGGACTATCTTCAATCCACGTCGTCTGGCCTCCTCCCACGTAATGTCAGTTTTGATGTTGTGCTCGATCATCTTGTCTAGCTCTCTGCCCCTAGCGGTCTTGACCTTTTCAAGAGGCAGTGCTTCGCCTGATCTCTCGTCGAAAGCTGACGTCACATTTCCCCACTCTGGGTATCCGGCAAGGAGGGAATCCTCAAAAATTGCTGCGAGTGGCACGTCATGGAGTGTAGGCAAAGTGCCTTTCTCTTCTGCATGCGTGCTTTCGTCTTGCTGTAGCAGCAATGTTGAGATGTCTTCTGCGTCTTGCAGCTCTTGGACACTGACCTCAGGGTCTCGTTTGCTTCCCTTTGGATCTGGTGCCTTCAGCCTCTTTTGGGCTTCTTGTGTGCCCTCTGTGGGTCTTTTGGCACTTGCTGAAGCCGCGGTGCTTCCCGCAGGATCAGCTGAGGATGCGGGTCTTCCCGCGATCCTTGGTGCGATTGAGAGTGCGGAGTCTCCCGCAACTCCCTGAGGCGCGGCGGTTCCCGCTGCCTCTCGCTTGTCGCGATACAATGACGAGGAATTGTCGGCCGCTGGCGCTTCCAAGTCTTCAACTTGCGCGCTGGCACTTCCTTCGCCTTGTTGTGCCTTCGCTCGCTCTTCGGCGATGATCTTTGCGAATCTTGCTCGGCATGTTGCATTGTGTGGCTTTGGGTTGTCGTCTGAGCTGTGACAGCCTGCGCATCCTTCTGTGGATCCATGGCGAATCTGCCGTTCCACTGTGATGTACACTCCTCGGGCGCGTCCGCTTGGTGTTCCTGGCGCTGCAATCCTTGGCGTGCCTGAGGCTCCTGGCATCAAGGTTGGCTCGCCTTTGGGTTGCCACGGAACGCCTTTGAGAGCCTCGAATCTTTTCAGCTCCCATCGTCGCCCTTCTGGCCTGCGCCATGCGCTTCTGCAGCGACGGATGCCGTCTGCTGTTCCGACATAGTGTTCGTCGGATTGCAGGGATTTTCCAACCCAAATGCCAATGGGGCTCTGAGCGTCCAGCTTGCCTTTGGCGTCTTGCGCAAGTTTTTAGTGCACAGTTTCAAATGGCTCTACAACTTCACCTTTGTATTCGCGACCTTTGAGTCGTTCATATGGGGTTTTCCCATCTGCCTTCACCAGGAATCTGGTCAATTGCCATGCTGAATGGCGTACAAGCCACGGGTATGAAACACTGGAAACTTTCAGCTTGAAGTCCTTGTACAGTGCGTTCACGTTTGTGCGCACCTGTCGCGAGAGCTCCAGTACCGCCCTTTCAGCGGCCCCATTGGACGCGTGAGATTCACGTGGCGCAGTTTGGTGTTGCACCTCTTTGCCATACTTCACGGCTGATGCCTCTGCAAGTGCTTTGATGCTGTGTTCGGCATCTGTTTGCAGGATGGCTTTCTGTCTACCACAAAACTTCAAAGCTTCTACTACCACATTGACGGCGTGATCATTCACTCCCTTTTGCACAACACTGCTGAAAACGCAGCCTGTTCTTTCGTCAGTGACTACCAAAACGGGCATGATTCCTTCTGCTTCTTCTGTTGGCTCTTTCAACTCAGCCACCGTTGTCTCTTCAGATTTGGTGTTGTCAAGAACTCTGCCCAAAAAGCAATAGTCCATTGAAACTCTGGGGACTTCCTTGTCGTCTCCTGGAGTTCTTCTACGGTGACTATCCTCACGAATTTTTCCAGCCATACAAAACTCACACCAATTTCTAAAAGGAAGGTGTGTAATCATGTGGTTGTCATACTCGGCTTTGGTGACCGTATCTGGGATTTTCTTGGCTCTTACTGGCCTTGCTGGTTCAGATGGTTCTGCAGGCGGTTCCCCAAGTTCAGGGAGAGGGGGTTCAACTTGTTGGGGGTCCTCTACTTCCATTTCCCCAACTGCACCCGGTTCTCGCGCCTCTTCCTCCAACGCTTCCGCTGGAACAGCTTTCTTGGCAGGTCTGATGGCTGCCATCACTTCCTGGCCGGTGGGGCTTCCCACACAGCTGGCGGTGCTACCCGCACTTTGGGATGCGGCATTACCCGCTACCCCTCCAGGGCTTTTATCTACCATGGTTGCTAAGGGCTTGTCATCATGACCAGTTGAACCCTTTTCAAGTGAAACCGGCAACCAATAAACGCCCCTTTTCTTTACCAACCCAAGTTTGTTGGGGGTCTTCTCAATTGCTGCCCTGATGAATTCACTGGACTTGCTGGGGACAAGAAACTGAGCGTCTGGACCAATCACAGTCCACGTGCCTCTTTGTGCCGCCTTGCCAGCACTGAGCACTGAGAAGTTGATCTTGTCAGACTCTGCGTATTCGATCGTGAATTTCCCAGCATCTGTGGTTATGGTGCTTTTCTTGTACTCCCCAGTGATTAAGGGTTGACCAGTAACCGTAACCATACCAACGTTTGACCCTTTTGAAACTGAACGTGCATGGCTATCAAACCCTTTTACAAACAAGTGACTTCCAGCCCCGGTGTCCACCAAAATCTCCTGCGTGCTATTGTTGACGGCAGCTGCAATGAGCGTCTCCTCAGGGTAGGCGCTGAGCGGTTCGCAGCATTGGGGCGGGGCTTACCGCTCCCGGGGTTAGCCTTGGCCTTTGGCTTGCCCTTGCTGCTACCTTTACCTTGGGCATTCTTTTCATCACTGATACGTTTTCTGCATTCTGATTTGAGATGCCCCTGCTTACCACAATAGAAACAGGATTTGTCCTTGTTTGGATTTTGTGGGGCTTGTTGGGTACCTTTACCCTTGCCTTTGGAATCACCTTTGGAATTTTTTCCATCACCCTTTTTACCACCTTTCTTACCTCCTTTTCCTTTGGCGTTGGGGGTTGCACCAATTTCCATTGCAACCGGCATGGACTGCAGGACACGGTTAGTCCTAGCTATCTCCAACAATTCAGTCTTGACAGCTTCATACGTATTGAGACGTGCGGCATTCTTGATGAGATGTTCTTTCATTGATTGGTCCTGAACCCCTTGAATTACTATACCCAAAAGTATTTCTTCATCTAAGGTTTTCCCCGACTCCATCTCGTACCGTGGCACTGTTTTGTCGAAGCTCTCGAGTTCGGCCTCGATGTCTGTGCCAAACTTAGTGGCCAAGATGAGGGACAAACTCCCCACGAACCTTGACGCCACCTTGGGGTGATACTGCTGGTAGAGTCTCCTGTAGGCCTCAATGCCCTCTGACACTCCAGCGTTGTAGGCTATGTCCAATGCCCGGTTCCTCAGCAGCATGACCAGCACGAAGTAAAGCTGACCTGAGAGTGTCCTCTCTGTTTCTGAGAGCGCTCTGTTGGGCAATGGCGTTTGGCTTCTCTCAGCCCGGTCCATCAGGTCATGGTATGCAACGTTGATGCTGAAACACCAATCGGGGAACTCTGTTGCATCCCCTTTGAATACTTCTGGCTTCCCCAAGGTTCTGGTGTCCACAATTCCAAAACCTGAGGAACTAGCGGCGTTTGCGCTTGAATTCCTGGGCACCTCCTCAACTGTGTTGATGGAGATTGCACGTGCCCTCTCAGCTTGCATTCTCAGGATCTGCTCCTCCTGAGAGATGATTCTTTGGGCCATCTGCCCAACCAGATTGTTAGTTTGCTGCAACTGCTGCAGCACAGCTGTCATCTGCTCCCCAATCTGGGCTGTCCCCATCTCCATCTGGTTGATCTGGGGGTCCATCTTTCTTCTTATTCACAGGGTTGGTGGTGTCCGGCTCGTCGTCCTCTTCAACCACCTTCTTCTTAGCTTTCTTGGTCTTTGGAACGTGGTACTTCTGCAATAGCGGTGTCAACTCAGGCTTGACAGGGACAAAGGTCAACCTCTTGAGCCTTTTGTTGGCAAACTTTGCAGCTTCTGGTCTGTTCTTCTTGGTACGCTCGTCACAACTCGAGCACTCCTCAGGAAGTTGCCTGCGCACCTGTTCTCCAACGGTGCCTCTTGGTGTAAGAGCTCGAATGCTCCTTGTCAGCTGAACTCGTTGGGCAAACCTCCTTTGATGCCAGACTCCTTGGATCGCCTTGGCACCCTCGGCGTAGTTCTCACGAACCTGCCTTCTATGTTGTTCCCGTCTTGGAGCTGACCTGAGCTTGACACCTGCCCCGGCCCTTGCAACTGACCTGAGTCTAAGGGGCGGTGCTTCCCGCTCCCTTAGGTTGATGAGGGTGACACCCAGGCGTTGCACTCGTACACCCCCTTCTTCTCTGATCCTCTTTCTGGGAGTCCTTCTTACTCTTGGCTTCGGGCCGGTTGTGTCCTCTACGACAACCGTCCTAGTGGGGGCTTCCCGAGATGAACTGGCTCCCCCTACCAGTTCGGGATAACTCGTCTCGACCCGCTCCTGTTGGGCGAGCCTCCTTCTTTCTTGGCCCCTTTGTTGCCGGGCCTCAGTGCGCTCTGCCGAGCGCTTCCCACGCTTGTTCGGCTTCTTCTTAGGAGCCGTCTTGCCAGTGCGGGTCTGCCCGCAACTGGCTGTGGCGCGGGGCTAGCCCGCAGCCACTTGTTGGTGCGGGACTGACCCGCAACCAACCGCTGGCGCGGGGCAATCCGCCAGCAGCACCCGCGGGTCTAACCGCAGAGTGCTAAGCCCGAAGGCTCACGCTACCATGAAAGCCGGGCGCACAGCCCCAAGATGCAGCAAGCAGCTTGTTTTCCTATCACGCTGATGCTTGAGCCAAAGTCATGGCCATAAGTTGAAATGAATTCTCATGTACAACATGCTAGCCTATACATGGCATGTGGTGACTGGAATAGGGTCTGTTTCCTGACAGTCAATACAAAAGGTGATAATGATATGGTTTTACAAAGAAACGGAGTTGAATATGTGAAATTAAATGGTGCTGGTAATGTAATTGATTTTAGTAAAGGTTTAACTGTTAATGGTTTTACAATAATCAAGAACTCAACAGAGACTTTGAAAATTGAAGATACAAGTAATCAAAGATATATACGCTTCGCGTTGGGAAAACATATTGACAGTTTTGATGGTAGTAATGCTCATTCTGGTGAGTTTCTTTATCCTAATTATTGTTCTCAAAACACCGCCGTTCTTGGTAATGATGTTATGCTTGTTAATCCAAGTGATGTAATATTCCACCAACCTATAAAATGTAATACGTTTAACAGTAATGGAAATAATGATGTAGTTTTACAAAGAAACGGAGTTGAATTTATGAAATTTGACAGCACTGATAATAAAATACATTGCCCGAAGGAATTGAGAATCATTGGTGGAGCGGGTAAATGTAGAATGTTTGAAGCAAATGAAACTACACAGAATGCTTTTAGGATTATGAATACCGAAGATACATTACCTGCCATTATAAGTTTTGGTGTTAATGCTAATGATAATGTAGTGGTAATTAAAGACACAGGTGTTAATTATAGCGTTCCAGTAAGATGTAATGAATTAGATACAAATGGTGATGTTGCTTTAGTGTTTAAAAGAAATTCAAATGGCTATATGACTTTCAATCAAGCAAACGACAGAATAGAATTAGCAAAATCATTAAAAATACCATTAAATCCATCAAAGTTAGAATTTACCGGTTGTCATATCAGAGAAGCAATAGCAACCGGTTCATTATTTGATGTCGTCCAAGAAAACAGCGATGGTGCTATACGATTTGTTGGTGAAATTTCAAACGCAAATATGCCATTATATATGAGTTCATCTGTCGTTAGATGTGGTGAAAACCATACATTATTAACTAATGCGATGAATTCAATTGGTGATGTTGATGTAGTTTTTCAAAGAAACGGAGTTGAATATTTTAGGTTAGCTGGTGCTAATAATATTGTTAATGTTGCTGTTGGTCGTGCTTTATCATCAAGTGATATTTATACAAATGAATACCGACCAAGAAGCAACAACACTAATACAATATGGTATGGTTTAGGTTCAGGTGGAACAGGATATGTAGAAATATTCAGATATGATTATGCTAATTCTTCGTTAGATTTTAATTGTAGTATTGATAATACAGGTCTCAGTGTCATTGGAAATATCATAGACACTACGGTTTCTGATGAACGCCTCAAAAAGAACATAGAAGATGTTGATGCTAATTGTCTTGATTGTGTTAAAAAGGTTGGCATTAAATCTTTTGAATACAAAGATGAAAAATATAGAAGTAATGACACCTTCGGTTTATTGCTCAGGAACTGCTTGAAAATCTACCTGATGAATTCAAAAATATAGTAAAGGAAAACAAAGAAAAAGACAGTGATGCTAAATATTTAAGTATCAACTATATGAAATTGACAGTATTGTTGTGGGGTTGTAATCAGAAACTGATTGAAAAGATAGAACATTTAGAAGCATCTGTTTATGAACTACAAGAAGCAATGAAAGATATTTTTAAAAAAAAGCCAAAGCAAAATCAAAAACCTAAAGATAATTAAAATATAATATAATGTATATATGGGAAATAAGCAATCTACAGTAGAGAACAGTTGTATTCAAGAATTGAGTAAAATTAATGAAGAAGAGTTAGATATTAGTAGGATAGATAAATTACAAATAAAAGCATTAAAAGAAATCAATAGCAAAATTGAAAAACTGAATAAAGAAAAGCAAACAAAAATGATATATGCTTTGCCAAAAATAGATGTCTGTAATTACAGCCTCTTTTAAATTGATAATATTTTTATTTCAGTATAATATTATTAATTAAT